GGTGGGGGTGGGGATGGGGGGGGCCCCCGAGAGATTTCGAAGAAGGTAGCTCCCAGTATATTCGCTTGCTTGCAACCCCAAATCGGGGCTTTAGTTTTCATACCAGAAATCAGAGAGGAGGAAACGATGTTAGACCGTTGAGCTGAGAACTTACAGTCCTGGTCGTCCCCTCCACCCGTTTTGTGGTATTTTGTCAAGACCAGGTTGCCCCCTCTCCTTCGGGAAAGGGAATCCACGCACCCCCAACCCTACCCCACCCTTCAGTCTCTGAGACTCAGGTCTCCCCCAATCGACTGCTGAAAGTTTGCTAAGGAGCTGGAGGGCTCAGAAGGGACGGTAGAGGAGGTGGGGGGGGGGACAGTGCAAACAGTGGCCCGAGAATCACAGCAGTAGCAAAATAACCTTTCTCCCGTGAAAGACCAGAGGCACATCCTCCCTGCGGCGGGTGGGGTGGTGGCAGACTTTATTTCTAATTAAAATTTGTGTTTAGAAAGGAGCCGTCCTAGAGCTTGACTAGGAAACAGGGTTCCCTATACATCTTTGTACTTAAGCTGCGGAAATATATTTCTTGTCTATTAGAAGTATATGCAGCTTCTCGCCCCAGGCTCCTGCCCTTGTCCCTTGCTCTCGTTTCCTGTCCTCAGTCAAGGATCGTGGGTTGCAGACCACTGGGTGAATTCTTCCTCCAATGCTAGTTTGCCTCTTTTACCCTTTTCTTCTTTTTTGGGGGTGTGCGCGCGCGCGATGGTGGTAGTGGAATAAATCCCCACGATTTCCCCCCCCATTCCCATTCCCCGAATATAAACCTGAACCCCATCTGGAAGGATAAAAAGCTAATTTAGCACCAATTTGCTCAGTGGCGAAGATCTCTCTCTCTCTGGCCACTTCGATCCTGGTATCTTGGATTTTTTTTTTTTTTCCCCCTTGAAAATCTCCGCGCTCACACGCACACGCAGCCCGGTTTAAATCTCAACCCTCCAGATCCACCAAAGCAACCACAATCACCATTACAACAACTTGTTCATCCCAACACCGGGCAGAAGGATTTTTCTTTTCTTCCTTAACGGGTTCCTTAGCTACTTAGTAGAGGGGTGGGGAGAAGCAGATTGTAATCCATGGCTGCTGTTCAGTAAACTACACCGAATCCTGAGCTCCTGGTTTTAATCCTCATTTCATTTTGAAGAGGCACCGTGGTTAAACCTTGAACAAGCTCTCGAGGAAGGTCTGTGGACCTAAGAGTACCGCTTTCCGTTTTGTTCTTCAAGCCACCTTCAAGCCAAGGAACATAATAAGACTATAATTTATCTAAGTGGATTCTCAGAGTCCCGGGCAGGTTATACCAGCAATAGATTGCCATTGGGAGTCAAGGGGCTGTAATTTCAGTCTTCCCCGGCCATTTACCGAACACCTGCGTTCATATAAAGGGAGGTCTTGCACATATCACAGCCTCCATTCACTTCTCACAAAACTCGGCTCCTTTCAGAAACCAGGATGCAAAAGAAGCCAGGTTGGACCCCTCCCCCCCAAGAAGGAAAGCAAAAAAAAGGTGAATCCCGAAAACCCCTAGGCTACAAATTCAGACAATTATTCCGATCTTAAACTTAGAAGCGTTAATCACCCGAGAAATTTTCAGAGAGGGACCCCCTCCATGTTTGTCCGTCTGGAGAGCCCCGTCGGCCAGAAACAACAGCAAGCAGCAAGAGTCGTCTTAAGTCCAGACGAAGCGATCATAAGTGCTTGGGGAATTGTTGGGAAGGTATATGAAGCCGTGTGGTGAGTTGGAGACGGTTATGAGGTTTGGCGAACCTGCGTCCCTGCCCCCCAGAAATGCCCTCCTGTCCTTCTCTCTCTCTCTCTCTCTTTTTTTTTCTCCCTCTCTCTTCCTCTTGCTAATTTTTCCCCCGGAGGGGGGCGTGTGGGGGGGGGGGAGAGAAGTCTGTCTACCACCATTTGTTCGCTTTGCCTGCTCCCTGTCTTAATAAAGGCTCCCGACCCTTCCGTCTGGCTGCGTGTGAGTAGCAAAGGAAAAGGAAAGGGGGTCAAATTAAAAAGCGGGGTAGGGGGGGTGGGGTGAGGGAGGAAGGTTGCCCTTGATGAAGACTAACTGACGTAATTAAGGCAGTTTCTTGTTGCCGAGTTAAAAGCCAACCCCAACAACATGAAACTACCTAAACCACGGAACAGCTGCAGAAAAGGGCGAAAGATCCACAGTCATTTCTGCCAGAAAGAAAGAAAGACAAAAAGGGATGGAGGGGACAGAGAGAGAGAGAGGAAAGAAAGAAAGAAAGAAAGAAAAAGAAAGAAAGAAAGAAAGAAAGAAAGAAAGAAAGAAAGAAAGAAAGAAAGAAAGAAAGCATCTTTAGTCCCTTCGTAGGCTATGCTTCAGGGTATGTTCCTGCTAGCTTTCTCATCCCACGTTAGAAGCTAAGCACAGGAATAACCAAGCCCCTAAGAAAACATACTTCGAATTAAGGCAACATCTTTAATCTCTTCATTAAGATTCCCCCTCTCCTCCCCCTCCTCTTCTCCCACCCCTCCCCTTCCTTCCTCTTTAATAGAATCTGCATTCAACTCTCTCTCACTCTACTTGTCTGTCTGCGGTTGAGCTGCTAGTATATACTGAATTACAGCACAATCCACTATCCTTCATTGGCAAACTGGCTACGGTCTGACATTATTCATTTTGCCTTGCATATTGCCATCCAGCTTCAGTTAAAGAAGCGTGGGGGGGGGGGAAAGGAGGTGGGGAAGAAATATCCACAAAGGAACGTCTCTGCGTGGGCGTGCGTGTGTGTCTGTGATCCCACAACATTTCAAAATGCCACCAAACGTCCTTGCTTCCCCTTCTTTAGAGCCCCTGTCAGCCAAAACTCTGAAAGCAAAAGGGCACATTCAGGGAATACCCAACTCCAACGGGTTTGAGGAGTGCCAAAGTCCTCTGGCGACCAACAAAAACAAAATCAAAAACCAAAAACCTCAGACTCTTTGGTGTCCCTTCTAAAGAAAGCTCAACTTCATCAGAAGTAAGTTTAAAAAGGGGAAGAAGAAAGAAGAAGAAGAAGAAAGAAGAAAGAAGAAAGAAGAAGAAGAAGAAGAAGAAGAAGAAGAAGAAGAAGAAGAAGAAGAAGAAGAAGAAGAAGAGGAGGAGGAGGAGGAGGAGGAGGAGAGGAGGAGGAAGAGGAAGAAGAGGAGGAAGAGGAGGAAGAGGAGGAAGAGGAGAAAGAGGAAGGGGTGTGGTGGGAGGTCTTGGTGGCCAAGGGGATCAACATGGAAATCTATGCACCACCATTCTTCAGCCATGCATATTCTGATCGAAAATGAGCTGTCACACAGGCACAGGGAAGCCCCCTTGATCCAACCCCCCCCCAAGTCCTAAGACACCAAACCAGACGCCCTATCTGGATCAAACCTAGATCGCCTCAAAGTGGAGTTCACATCCACGCTGCCTTTACCTTGGGGAGAGGGAGGGAGGGGGGGGGGGGGGGGGGGGGAGGGAGGGAGAGAAACCCAGACACACACGCACACACACACACACTCTCAGAGAAATCCACTTGCATCTCAGCCATGTATCTCAGCCAAGAAATCGTCTGTCTTACCTTCTGCACGCCTTCCACCGTGACATCCCCGTTCTCTGTGCTACGTACGCTGGGAGCAAGAGGTGGCTTTAAAAAAAAAAGTGTATTCCTTCTTTTCTTTCTTTCTTTCTTTCTTTTTCTTTTTCTTTAATAATAGAAAACGGTTCTTCCGGAGGAGGAGATAAAAGGAGCATGTCTTTCCTTTCAAAAAGAAAAAAGGAAAAAAGAAAGGAAAGGAAAAAAGGTGGAAAGAAAGACAGACAGAAAAAAAAAAAGAGACCCCTAGCTATGAGGAGTGTGCATCCCAAGAAAGCTGCTCTGCTTCTGACTTGCTTCCCTCCTCCACAGTCACCTTTAAATGCATCTTTTACTGCTGCGGCACATTATATTTGCAGATCATAAAATCCACCTCCAGCGCTTACCAAGACTGTCCTGACATTACTGTTTTATGACCTTGACTTATTGTGGTCACCTGGATAATATTTAAATCAACGTTATGGTCTCTCACTTATATTAAACCCGCTAGGATACTCTCCTGAAAGCCTTAAAAGGATGAGTACTAGGGGGAAAAAATACCCTAGACGGAGAGAGGGACGGCGGGGGAGGGGGGGCGTGCTTTTTTGGCGCGGGGGGGGAGAGAAAGGAAATCACTTCCAAAAATACCCAGTTGTCCAGCGTTCTAAGAAATTTATTTGGCTCCATATAGAAAGATACATGCACAGATTCCACATACAGGATATATTTAAATAGCAAGTCACAAAAAAAAAAAAAAAAAAAAGCACAGGCATTCCCACTCACCCACCCCCACTTTCCCCGTGATAAGATAGCTAGCGGTGCTGCCTTATTATTTTTCTTTTTTTCTTAAATATAATGGGTGACAGCACCACCTCACTGGAAGGAGACTGCATAAACTACATCGAGTAAGCATTTCTCTCTGCTATTTCCACATATTCGCACGTATGAAATTCATTGGCAGTCATGATATCTTGTATTATTGTACAATAGGCAGGCTACACTAAGGTACGGAAAAGCAAACTTTCAAACATAGCTAGTGTCCTAAACATTAAAAAAAGAAAAAAAAGGCATAGATGTAGATCCTTCGGTCTTCCAAGCCCCCAACACACCCTTCCCTTCGCTTTGTGCTATTTCTGAATAACTTAAAAACATCTTAGAAGGTGTTTGAAAAGCTAGTAAGCAATCAGCTGGTTCTTTATTTTACATATAGAAACACTGATTTATATATATATATATATATTCAGTGTCTCTATATGTAAAATAAAGACAGCTAGTAAACTAGTAAGCAATCAGCTGGTTCTTTACATATAGAAACACTGAATATATATATATATATATATATATATATATATATATATATATATATATATATATATATATATATATATATATATATATATATATTTCTTTTTCGTAGGTTTTATGTGTTATTTCTCTCTAGCCAGGTTCCACCTACATAATATATATATATATATATATATATATATATATATATAATATATATATATATATATATATATATATATATATATATATATATATATATATATATATATTCAATGCTCATACTGATGAATGCATCTCCGCTCTATAATCTGTAAATATCCAAATTATAGAATTTAACACTTAGCCTGAGGTCTCTTCCTTTCCCTCCCTCCCCGTCCTCCCTCCTATGCTCCTTGCAATGATGTCCAGGGGGTGGGGTGAGGGGAAAAATAATAATGATAATAATTAAAAAAAAATACTGCACAAGATTTGCAATGATTCTCCCCATATAGCCCATCCCTTCCTTCCTCTGAACACGTTCAAGTGAAATTAAAATTGGAAGTCAGTTCCCGAATTCGGTTCTCTCTGTTCATTTTCTTGAGTTTCATCCTGCGGTTCTGAAACCAGATTTTGACTTGTCTGTCTGTTAGATTAATACTCTTGCTAATCTCCAGGCGGCGCTCGCGGGTCAAGTACATATTGAATAAGAATTCCTTCTCCAGTTCCAACGTCTGATGTTTAGTGTAAGGGCATCTTTTCTTTCTTCCGCTCTTTGCTGTCAGCCAATTTCCTGTCGTGTTTTCTGCCTTTATATCCTCTGTTAAAAATAATATTATTAAATAAGTATCTATTGGAATAGCAAAGCGAGCTTCCTAGAGTCAAGGCTACTTTTTTCCCCCCTGCAGCTTCTTTTGCTAATGGGAAATCTCTCATTCCACTGCTAAAAAATAATGGGCGTTCTACCTCCAACTCCTTTTTTTATTTAACATTTAGCTATTTAAAAAAAAAAAAACAGCCAAATTAAGCATTCGGGCAAATAACAGGAACTAAGGGGTCGCAAAAAGCTGGGGCTAAAGTCCTATTTTAAACAATATTCACCTGGACATAAGCTACATAATGCCAGCTCTTACTGGATTCCCCACCCCCAAACACACACACACACACACACACACACTTCGCCTATGACACATACGGAAAAACCTAAATAGGCCTTTCCTCGGGGACAGACGGATTTTTTAAAAAGAGTCAGATCTATCAGTAGACTCCTGCAGTTACAAAATTCCATCCAGGTTTGGAAAGATTTAAAAATAATAATAATAATAATAACAATAATTCCAGAGGTTTAATGGTTGTCCTAATTAGCTGCTGCTTGCACACCCACAAAGTTCCCAGCTCAGACACTGCTCTGAAACTATCCCTTCATATTCAAAACTCGTCAAAAGCCAAACAAGATAGGGTGGGAGATTCAGAGAGTGGGTAGAGAGAAATATTTTGCCTCTCTCTCTCTCTCTCTCTTCCCCTCCCTCCCTTCCCAATAGTCCAGACTCCATTTTCCTTTGATGTGAGAGCTCTGGGTAGTTTTATTATGAGTGAAGGTAAACTTTCGATATTACTTTTAAAAAACAAAAACAAACCGACCAAGATTTATTTGTACTTTTAAAATGACCCGTCTTCCTATCTGCCTGTAACACACACACACAGAGACAAACACACATATACAACACCCCGACTTTTTCCAAATATCCCTTTTTCATACAGGCGTGCCCAACTCCAACTGTTCACTTCAGCCTCCAAATTCACAAACACCTTCCCAGATTTGAATTTGGATGGTCTACGGCTGGTGGCAGAATGTGAGGGCAAGTCTGAAGCCTTGTCTTGTCTACGGGAGTCTTCCTGTCCCAGGATCCGAATTCTTGCCCCAAATTTAGGAATACCAGCAAGCTGCTCCAAAACCGACCAGCGAATTCGGCTGCATGGAAAAGCCTTTCACATGTGTTTAGCCCTCTGCCATTGAACCCTGTTAGTTCCTTCTAAGAGTTTGTTTCCCCCCCTCCCAAAACCTTAAACTCCCTTTCCACACCTTGCATAGGGCATACAGTAATAGAAACAGAGAGGAAGACTCCATATAAGACAAAGAGAAGGTGGAAAGATAAAATAATAATAATAATAAATTATTATTATAATGATCATCATCCCCATCAAAATTCATCCCCCTGCTGGCATAATACATAACAGTGTTGGATTTCCAGCAAATAGCTCTCTTCTTTCGCAAGGAAGAAAATTAAATAAAACTTTTTGGAAAAACCTAGGCGGGACATTTCAAATTCTTCATTAGAACTGACTGTTGTGATTAAAAGAGATCATGAAGTTGTTGGGGTTTTTTTTTTTCCCCCTCTCTCTTTCTCCCTTCCGAGATCCTATAAGCCAATCGTATTTTATTATTTTTGTTCATTTTACTTTTGTGAATTGAGGACGCTGGAGAAAGTGTAAGCAAGAAAGCGTTTTGGGCGAGATTAGTTTTTAGAGATTCATGACACTGCACGTTTTCTTATTTTATTGGTAGATAAAATAATCTATTCTTGGTTGCGCGGAAGAGGGTTGGAAAATCCGTTTTAGGCCATTTTCAATTCGTATTTTAATTCTA